CATGCAATCCTATTTTAAATACAGGAAAATTGCCGAAATCTGTTTGGCTCAGTGGATAGAGTGTCGGCTTGCGGACCGAGGGGTCCCAGGTTCGAGTCCGGTCAGGGGCATGTACCTGGGTTGCGGGCACATCCCCAGTGGGAGATGTGCAGGAGGCAGCTGATCGATTTTTCTCTCTCATCGATGTTTCTAACTCTCTAACTCTCTCCCTTTCTCTCTGTAAAAAATCAATAAAATATATTAAAAAAAAAAAAAATAATAATAATTTAACCAGTGATTTGGGCCTAGAATTTCATATAGCTAGATTGTTTCTCTTTCTTAAAATAGAGGCTATTCACTTATCCATCCAAGCATCCATCTATATACATCATTTATCCTTATAAGAAAGATATCCTTAGTTTGCTAATTCTGGCTCTTTATAAATTCTAGATGTGCTATCATATAAGCATCTTCCATGAGGTAGAAAATGGTGTGTTCCTTAATCAACATAAAATTCCACACATTAAGAGGAGACAATTCCTTTAAAAATATTATGTAAATATTTTTTAAAGTCTCTTAATATAACTAAAAACAAAAGAGCCTTCCATCACTTTTATATTCTCTCTTTCTAAATAGCTAATCCATAGTTCTCCAAAGCAAAGTAGAACAAAAGCACTTTTAAAGATGCCTCAAAACTCATGCTCAGCAAAATAAGTCAGACAGAAATACTCCAGAACAATATGATTTCACTGATATGTGGGATATAAAACTGAAAGCAACGAATGAACAAACAAGACAAACAAAAAGACCCTCATAGACCCAGACAACAGTTTGGTGGTTATCAGAGGGATGGGGAGGTAGTACAGAGTAAAGGAGGGTCAAATATATGGTGATGAAAGAAGATTTGACTTTGAGTTGTAGGCATACAACGCAATATACAGATGATGTATCATAGAATTGTACCCTGGAAACACAAAATTATATTATCCAATGTCGCCCCAATAAATTACACATATATTAGCATCAATGCACACAAGGATTTTATTTCTATTGTTACCACAAAGAGAAATGCCACAAAATAGCAGAGTCCCAAAGTAAATCACTTTAGCACTCTGGGACAGTTTGCTGGTGTGTACAGTGAATGGGTTAGATGAGAGTAGTGCAATTAAAACTATGCTCCCTTAGGAACCATTGGAGGTGGGGACACCTACTACCCTACATCCTCTCTTCCATTCAATCAACATGGATCTGTTTTAATCTTATTTATTTGATTGACACATCAGAAGATTTCATTTGCACAAAGTGACCGTCAGCTTAAATAGATTTTGAGAACTACTAAGTTGTTCTAAAGTTTCATATAATGGGCTAGTTCTACCGACTTATGAAAGTACAAGACAATAATAGTCATTCATAATTCATTTTATGTTTCCGTGACATATAAGAGAAATGCAGAATTGTTGGGGTTGTTTAAAAGAATAAACTATTCCCCAGGCTAAATGGTTCTAATTTATAAAATGACTCAAATTAGAGAATGATGGTAATTAGCTATGACTGCATGGTGTTAAAAGAAAAACTTGTATATGCCGTGGGTAATGAGTGAAGAAAAAGTTATTTCTTTGCCAGTTGGAAGTCTCAAGGCTTAAATTCCTTGTTGTATGAAGGAAAAATATATTGTTTTAGAATGATTTGTCACCTAGATAACGATATGATTAAAGGGTAAATTTCACATGAACAATAGCACAAAGCTAGTTGTAAATGCCCAAATCTAATCCAAATGAGAGGCTTATGTCAATTTCCTGTGTATAATAATTACCCATTTTGTATGAATCTACATTTGCTTATACAAATGAAGTTCTTTCACAGTTTTGATTCTCACATTAACAAACCATTTATGCCACAAATCATATGATGAGTGTTTTACTATCTGAATTTTAAAATGCCTTTAGAAAATAAACTAGCTTAATTCCTGGAGTATAATATAGCAGAAGTTTACTGCCAAGAGCTTTAACTATGAATGTTTTAGTTCATTTGTAAAGGCTGCTAACTATTTAGCCATCAACCCATCCATTCCTTTACCAAACCTCCCCCCTGGGCAATAAATAATTATATTTTTAAAAGACCTTTTTCTATAACAATAACATGGCCTCAATTGTTTATCCACTTACTGGTGCAGAGTTTCCATTTGGTCCTCTTGATCTAACCATTCTCCCTAGGACTTCGACACCATCCACTGTGATATTCGCCGATGCATTTATTGCCTTCTCACCCACTTGCTTGCAGTCAATAACCACTTTGGCCAAAGTCTTGTTGACAACAATGTGTAGCTGGATAAAAGTCAGGATGTTTTAGTAGGTAAGAAGTGAGAGGACTATCAACCACATTTACATAATTGCATGACTCATTACTAAAATATATGAAAGAGAAGAGCAGGAATTCTGTCACTACGCATTTTGCTAGAGAAAGGTTCTACTTTGTTACCTCCATGACTGTCCCACAGTCAGTACCATGTCTGTTTTTATTTAATTAATACTTTTCTTTAAAGCAACTTTGAAATGATTCACTTTTTAAAAATCTAGCCTTCCTCTAAAGCAGTAATATCTTGAAATCACAGGGTTGTGGTGGGAGTTATGCCTTTTCTGAAAGCACAATAAAACAAACGTAAAAGTATTAAAATGTAAAAAATGCTGGTTGAATTACCAACAAAAGTTACCTGTGGTACTACCAGCAGTTGGTAATTTAAGGTGAGGAGAAAAGATCTAAAATCTAAAGGGAAAGGAGGAAGGCTTTCTAGTGATTATAGGCCCAAATAAAAAAAACTCTTCAGCTTAATGTATAGTTCAATGATCTGAAACTGGAATCTCTAGAATCTGGAGGTCCACGGTGATATATTCAAAAGTCTACACATTCTTTGTGAGGATTGGTAAAAATCTACATCATCATGTAGGTGATGGTCAAGGTAAGTATATTCTAAATGAGACACGTTGTAAGCACGTTCTGCCATGAAATTTCAGTGCTGATAAAGCATTTCAATTTATGATGTCTGTCACATACTTCTTGTTTGTGGCAGGCTACTTGTTTAGTGAGCTAAAAGAGTGAACTTAATTGGCAAAGAATGATTTCATTTTCATGATTAAATGAAAACCAAAAGAAGTTCCAAATAGCTGTATAAGAGAAGGTATCATAGCAGTTCAAAGAGAAAGTGTTGGGCAATGTGAGGCATGGTTACAAGAGTTATAGCAGCTAGTACTGTATTGTGAGCAGAGGTCAAGTGACCAGGAAATAATGTCATCTTTAAAATTAAAATAATGTTACTTTTAATTTCATGGGTTTTATTCTATCTTCATTTATTTTTGTTTATTTGTTGCCTGGGAACTAAAAGCATAAAAACTTATACCAATTGATGTAAGTTACATTATGATTTAAATAATTTACATCGATAGTGGAGGCTCCTAATATTCTTTTTCCTTCAAAAAGAAGTTAATCATAATCTATCCAGATCAACACTGCAGGAGTAAATTACTTGTTTCATATTACATCTCTTTTATAATCATTTAAAAGGGTATAGTTTGACTCTTGTGTGTTTTTGAGCCTTAGAATATTTTTCATTATTATAAATTATAGAAATTTTCATGCTGAGCGCTAGACAAACCAATATATTATGCATGCTTTAAGAACTATTAACTTGTGAGGGAGATTATTCATATTTTTAAAATTGTTGCTCAGTGGTTAGAGTGTTGGCCTCCGAATGGAAGGGTCTATGGTTCGATTCCCAGTCAAGGGTACATACTTGGGTTGCAGGTTCAATTCCAGGCCCCAGTCGGGGCATGTTTGGGAGACAACCAATTGACATGTCTCTCTCATATTGATGTTTCTCTCCCTCTCTTTCTCTCATTCTCTCTCTCCCCCCCCCCCAAAAAAAAGAAAAATCAATGGAAAAAATAAAAAATATATTTTGCTTTACAAAAGGAGACATAAAGTTTTCAGTCCTAACTGATTTGGCTCAGTGGATAGAGCGTCGGCCTGTGGACTGAAAGGTCCCAGGTTTGATTCAGGTCAAGGGCATGTACCTTGGTTGCAGGCACATCCCCAGTAGGAGGTGTGCAGGAGGCAGCTGATCGATGTCTCTCTCTCATCAATGTTTTTAAGTCTCTATCCCTCTCCCTTCCTCTCTGTAAAAAATCAATAAAACATTTTTTTAAATTTTTCAAAAATATTTTGACTTCACTTAAGGATCCATTTATATAATTATAACTTTTTGAAAGAGACTTTGGGGCCATACTTCATACCCAAAGTGTATAAAATAAAGCACATGAAGAACAATAAGAATTAAGGTAAAGTATTTATTCAATTATAACCTAAGTTTATGAACAAATCAAATTTGATCAGTACAAACTGAATTTGCATCAAGATTTTCCATTAATAGATATATTAGTAGTTTGTTCCATGATATGCCTTTATTTTATTTAGCTTTAGCTTCATTAAGACTTAGCAAAGTGGAAAAAGATTTTTTTCTTTTTTTAAAACAATTTATTGATGAGAGTCAGAGAGAAACATCCATTAAGTTGTCCCACTTATTTATGCATTCATTAGGCGATTCTTGTATGGGCCCTGACTAGGGATCAAACCTGCAACCTTGGCATATGGGGACAATGTTCTAAGTAACTGAGCTGCCTGGCCAGGGCCTAGGAAGATTTTTCTTCATATAATTTTTAAAAATTTGAAGTTTATAAATTTGAGACCAATTTTTAATGAACCTACCTATAGGTCTTTGAGTTCTCCTGGTAAGGTAAGCAAAGCTTAACATTTACCTAAAATTCTTAAAGAATTCTTTGAAGAAAAATTACTAGTACAAGTCCATGCCTATTCCACAGGCAAAGATGGCAATTATTTTTAACACTCATGAAATCTCACATGCTTTTCATCTCCTGAACATTTTTTCCTTGACTACTTTGCAGCAGACACTGTATAATCAAGAAAAGAATCATGTCAAGAGGAATTTGGTGAGATATGTCAATAACTCCAAAGATATGCTAATGCGACCAATTTGAACCATGAACTAATTGATTTCCACTTGCATCTCATGTGTTTTTATGGTATCTTTTATGGTCTTATTCAGTCAGGGAAAAATTACATTTTTATGCAACTCTTTATGCATGACAGAGTCAGAATTTTGTTATGCAATTGTTCATATGCAGTGAAGGTATTCAAAACTCCAGAAAGTAGTAAAGTTAGGTGTTTGATCATGTACTATGTCAGGAGACAGAACCAAGATAAAGACTGCTGTGCTATATCCCTTTTCTCTCTCTAATAGGGCAAGAAGGGATGGGTTAAGAGGCTTTTGCTAGCGCCACCTGGTAAATGCTCTGCTCTCTCTGCAGTCTTGGTATTGCATGCCTACCAGTCCAGAGATCAGTGGGGTTATTTGCCAAACATAAAAGAAACAGTACATATTGGAAGGAAGCATGTCTACCAAAACTAAGTGTTTCTGAGATGTAAAATGTTAAGGAACAGAGCTCTTGTTACAAGTCCAAATTAAAATAAGAGCAAGTTAAGTCAGGTTTTACAAAATTTGTCCTCAGGGGTAACTTTTATGATGGCAGTAATAGGTTGTGTGATTATATGTTAAAAAAAACACAGTTATATCTATCTTTACATAGATATAACTATGCAATCAGTTATATCTATCTTTACATTTTTTTAAAAAATATTTTTATTGATTTTTTTTACAGAGAAGAAGGGAGAGAGATAGAGAGCCAGAAACATCGATGAGAGAGAAACATCCATCAGCTGCCTCCTGCACATCCCCCACTGGGGACATGCCCGCAACCAAGGCACATGCCCCTGACCGTAACCGAACCCGGGACCCCCCCAGTCCACAGGCCGACGCTCTATCCACCGAGCCAAACCGGTTTCAGCTATCTTTACATTTTAATATGATTCGGCTAGTTGTACCTTTCATCTGCACTGGTAGGCAGGTAGACCAGCAATCCTTTCTACATCACACATAATGCCTACTTAATAATACAGTGCCCTCTATTAAATTGTTCCTCATGGTGGGAACCTGGACCACTTCTATCATATCTCCTGGGGTACCTGCTAAAAAATTCACATTTCAGGGTTCTATCTCAGAATCTCTAGGCATTGTTAATAAATCCTGCAGGTAATTCTTTCTCCAGTTGAAATTTGAGATCCAAAGCTGTACGGAATAGTTTCACCATCTATCTGTTGCTTTGCCCAACGTGAATAAAGACTATGTGTACACAAAACATTACCCACCTTGTGAAAGCTTCCATGGAAAATTTTCCTAATTTCAGGTCCTTCAAACGTAATAGTTTGAAAATCTCCACTGTAGTCATAGTTGAAATACGTTAGGGTTTTCCCACCATCTAATCAAAGAAAAATATGTAAAAAGAATTAAAATGAGTGAATAATTTTCTACAATTCAACTGAAGACAGAACATAATGCATCCATTGTTTTGAAGCTCTGTTTACAACAAAGTGATGAGTAAGGAAGGATCTGCAGTCCTTGGGTTGCCCAGGCTTTTAGCTGGCCAGACTAACTGACTTAACAATGTGGTGATGACGGCAAGGCAAGGAATCCTACACATATTTTTCCTCTATACTTCATTGCCTTCATTACCCTCTTGAAAGAGGGGTGTCTGAAGCTAGGACTAGAGGCAGACAAAAAGGGGGAATGAAGTTAATCAAATCTTAAGAAACAGAAACCAGACTCTTTGCCTAATTAACCCACTATAGCAAACAACTTTCCCAGGACATGCAACTTATACCACCCCAAAAGAATGATATTCCAAGATGTCTCTTATTATGAACAAAGAAAACCCTTCCTAATCTTGAGTATTTCATGTTACAAGTAATATTTTGTTACATAGAAATAAGAATATTTTTCTCACTAATTCATTCCCATGTTACAATTTAATTCTTCACTCTGCTTTCAAAAGGAAAAGCTAGTCTTAGTCATTTTGAGAGACTTCATTGTTTTCCATTCCTGCATGTATATGGAGTTAGTGGCTAACACCTTTTTAATCTATAACCTTCCCTTAGTTTTGATATCAATACAAAATGCTTTCACAAGATCATATTTAGTTGTTGATTCATTTCCATGTACTGAAAAGTCTTTTCACAAATACTAGCTGAAAACAAGTTTAAAACGCTTTCCTTATCCAAATGTTTGAGTTAGTACCTAATAGTAGCAACTAAATTTTGGTTCCTAGCTTCACTGGAATTCTAAACTAAAAATCTATTTAGAAAACTCATTGACATTAACAAAAAACTTGATGATCTTTTTATTTTTTTATTTTTATTTTTTTTATTGCTTAAAGTATTACAAAGAGTATTACATATGTCTCCCTTCCCCCCCGCCCCCGCCCTTGACAATCCCCTGGCCTCCTCTACCCCCCAGTGTCTTATGTCCATTGGTTATGCTTATATGCATGCATACAAGTCCTTCGGTTGATCTCTTACCCACCCCCCTGATCTTCTTAAGTGATCATTATATGTGACATCCAAGAGTGTGAGGTTAAGAAGCTTCCTTCATTGGTTCCTTCTCAACTTTTCAAAACCCAAACAATGGTGGGTTTCCCAGTCGTCAGACCTCTTCTCTTCTCTTTCTAGACTCATTCTCTAGATGACTTCACCCAATATCATGGCTTATACATATATCACCCAGACAACTTCAAAATTCATTTCTCTATCCCAGCATTCTTCCCAAATATACTTCTGGCAGTCTGGCGGGTTGTGTGTGTGTGTGTGTGTGTGTGTGTGTGTGTGTGTGTGTGTGTGTTTTCAATATGAAATAGGCATCTTACAACATCATATCCATATCCAAAAAATGAACTTGTGGTCTCATGCCATTGACTGACCCCTCCTTCTTCCATCAACCTCACTCTTCTTGTAGTCATCAGTAGCTCAGTAATTGTCTCTTTCACCTGCTCACTACTTTTCCCAGAGTTTAGAGCTGGCACACAGTAGGAACTCAGTGAATATTTGTGGAAAGAAGGAGTGGGTAAATGAATGAGTGAACTGTTACATAATTCATTTTAGTATTCACTAGCATGGTTTAAGTGAGGTATTCTGCAATATACACAGAATAGGCAAGATGGCATGCCACATACATCACTCATACATGTGTACAGATGTTATAGAAATAAATATACTTACTATCTAAAATAACTCCAACCAATGGGTCCGAATTTTTATTTAAAATCTCCCAAAGAGCAAATGGCTCCTCTGGAGTGTCAGGAAGAATCCGGAATAGAAAACTGATAGTATAATCAGAAGGTAATCCTTCTGGATGCAAATACCTAAAAATGGAAAGAAAAAAAATATTTTCTTGTATCCCTCCTCAAAAGGTTATATATCTGATTATAAAAGCACTAGAGGCCCAGTGCACAACATTGATGCACTGGGGCGTGGGGGCAGGTACCTCAGCCTGGCCTGTGCCCTCTCGCAGTCTGGGACCCCTCAGTGAATATCCCCCGAGGGGTCCTTAGCTTTAAATATTATAGAAAACCCTACCAGGAACTATTACAGCCTATCAAAAGTAGGCATCATTTTCACATTGAGATATAATAAAAAATGATTGGCTTTAATATCTTGCAATGGAAACATACTTGGTAGGCTGGGAAACCAGGGCATCTTTATGCAGTCGGTAACAAGGGTACACATTGAAGGTACCAGGCTCCATAGAAACCCCTTCCATCGATGAAAAATCCTTTTCAACCAAACCAAACATTTCCATCATCTTAAATCCTTTAAAAAAAAAAGAATAAACAGGCATTTTAGGATGTTAAATTTCAAAATTAGCCTATTAAAAGAAAAATCTGGACCCCCAAATGGGAGTTATTTAATATATTTCTACTTGGAAAATTGTGATAATGCATACCGGCAAGATCAATGCCATCCTTGTGCACCAGTGGGCAGGCTGCAAAACAAGACAAAACAAACAATATAAAATCTTAATTTAGATATTTTCTAAACATATCCTTTCCCTGTCCTGAGAACAGGAAACTAACAATCTTTCCGGAAGTCAATTGTGAAGGGAATCCAAACCAGATGTGGCTATGGTTTTCTGTGGATTCCTAAATATTGAAACGCTCTCATTTTTTTTCTTAAATCAAAGGGCCATTGCCTCCTTTTCCTCTCCTGGGTCCATGAAAACTGGTGGTCACTTAGGAACATGTGTTGGGATAAGTCTCACTTCTAGTGCATTACACTGGTGGGCAGTCTTAAAACATTTTTAAAAACTATTTGCTACAGCTGTTTAAGAAGAGTTGCCTTTAAACACAGACTCTCATCTTATTAGGGAAGGTCTTCATCAACCGAAAACTCTACGCCTGGGAGGTTTACTTCCAACTGCTCTAAAACATAAAACAATGTCTGCATAACAAACGGCTCTACCAGACAATATTCTTTCCTCAAGTCAAGATGGGATTCATTATTTAACTGGTATGAAATATCTCAACCTTTAAGCAACATAAGTAAGCACACATTTCAAAGAACTCACTTGCCGAAGCGGTTTCACAGACAAAAGTAATCAACTCATCTTCAATTTTCTTAAAGGCGTCGAAGTCATCCACAAAGAAGACATGGCGTGCACTAGGCTTGCTGCCAATGCTAACCAACTCCGAATAATCCGCATCAGCCACACCAATTGCAAAAATGCTGTAGCCTGTGGCAGAACGGAAACAGCTTTCTGATTACTTTCCATTGCACAACAGATAAGTATCGCAATATAAGACACGGCCAAATGTTTAAAATATGTTTGTGAAGGAGGGCTAGTAGTGTTCTTTCTTAACAGTTCATCAGAATTGTGCATGCATGTATTGCATTATATGAAAATTATTCCATCATCCCCTACAAAACTTTTCCATTTTAAAGAAACTCAAGAAGGCCAATGCCCCCATTAGGACTTGAGACAAAATAGTTACCATTTGAGTAACATCTTTATGTCTGCGTATGTTTAATAATTATGCGAAAATTTATAAGATGTAGTGTAGTTGAAACAGAAATTTTATCACAGTTTTTATTTCATATGTAGAAACTGAGGTGTTAATACGCTTAGCAGCAGAGGTAGGTCATGGTTCAATGCTTGGAAAATGAATATTAAACAACTATTTGCCAGGTATATTTTATGTAATGTAATCTTCACGACAGTGTTATGAGAATCCCCATTTTACAGATGATGAGGCTGAGGAGATTCTGTGCAGGTTCCCTCCCTGGCCCTTTATAATGGTTCTTTTCATAGTATTGCATTTAATTGTTGGCATTTCTTAGACAGGGAATCCTGTATGTGGAAGAAGTATTAGAGAAAATAAAGCAAAATAATAGATTTGTAACCTGAAAAGTATTTTTTTAAATCACACTTTTCAGTTATATTAAGAAAGATTCAGAAATATTTAAGTCATACAGATTCAGCTTCTGAATGTATATTCAGAAAAGAGCAATGTTACCATATTACTGGTAGCCGCTTGCTTATCTGTGTAAAACTCACCATCTGATTGCATTTCACTGGAGATTTTGTTCACATCATCTTGTGATCGTCCATCAGTTATGACCACGATGACCCTTGGGATGCCTTTTCTGGTACCTGACTCTGAATTAAACAAGGTATCTCGGACATGCTTAATTGCTTTTCCTGAAACAAAGGAAGGCAACAGTTCAATTTCATTTTTGTTTTGCTAGGGAGGGAAGGGTAAGAACAAAGTTCTTAAATCAATGAAAACCTTTTTTTAAAAAAAATCTATATAATTATGCCTTAAAAATGTGACTTTCGATGATTAATGAAGATGTGAGGTATATATCACATATATAATGAAATAACATTCAGTCATAAAAAGATAAAATATTGCCATTTTTGACAACATGGACAGATCTTGGAAATATTATGCTATGTAAAAGAAATCAGACAAAAAAGGAAAGAACCATGTGTTTTCACTTATATGCAGGATATAAAGCAAAAAAGCAACAAGTGAACAAATAAACGCATAGATACGGAATCATTGGGAAGGGTGGGGTGCAGTGTAAGGTGAAGGGCAAAGAGGGGACTAATACATGGTGACGGAAGGAGACTAGACTTCAGGTGGTGAGCCAACAATAGAGTCTACAGAGGTCATATTACAAAGTTATACACCTGAAATTTATATGTTATTAACCAATGTTATCCCAATAAATGTAATTCTATAAACGTAATTTCAGTAATCACTAATAGTTCATTATTTTGGGTCTTAACTGGGCTTTCTTTGGTCTTACCTGTTTTTGTATTTCCTCCTTTGTAGGAAATACGTTTAATCGCATCAAGAAGAGTCTCTTTGGTGTTGTAAGTGTTTAGCTTAAATTCCGTTCTGGGGTCATCAGTAAACTGAACCATTGCAACCTGGAGAGAGAAGGTGTGTTTGTTTTTACATATATGTAGACTCCCCCTGGGCCAGATAAGATACCTTCAATTTAATTTCTTACTTAACCCAGTCCACAGTTTCCTTGGTTTAAAATTCCATACCAAATTTGATGACACATTAAATAGCATTTTTTCTCTGAGTACCTTTCAGAAAGTATTTTTAAAATCTCTCTCTACAGACTGACATACCTCAATATGGGGGTGGGGGACGAGAAGAGATAAACCAAAGAACTGTCATTTTTGTGAGCCTTCAACTGCTACCAGTTTATTGAGTTCTACTGCAGATGTCACCATCTTTAGGAAACTTCCTCCAATCCCCTGATTTCTCCCTCCCTGAAATGCTTCAGCAACTTTATGTATTTGGCAGTAATATCCAAAATTCCTCAGCTGTTCTTCCAAACTATATTCCAAAGCTGTTCATTTCAGTGCATCCCATTGCTACTACCCCAACCCATTGCTACTGCCCCAACCCATCTCTCTGATGGAACATGAGAGCAACATCCTAACTGGTTTCTCTGCTTCCACTCTTACTCTTATTAATATTCATTTTACAAAGCAGCCTTTAATCTTTTTGAAAAAGCTTATCAGATCTTTTCTCTCCATACTTCCTGCTGGTTTCCATTGCATTTAAGATGACATTCAACTACTTCAATAGTCCATAAGACTCAAGATAATCTGGCTTTTGCCTACTTCTTCCACCTCTTCTCCTACTATCCGCATACGCACCCACTATATTCTAGCTACAAGTTTTAGCGTCTGAAGCCTCAAGTCTCATTTGCATCTTAGGTCCTTTGTACTCACTGTTTTCCTTGTCTGCAAACTCTACTCTCAGATCTCCTTTGTAATCATTTACATCTCAGTTCAAAAGCCACCTCCTCAAAGAGGCCTTCATTGACCACAAAATTCCAAATACTCTCTTACACACACACACACACACACACACACACACACACACACACACACTTTTAAGTAACCCTCAGTGAATTTAAGTCCTATCACTCTGTTTTCAGAGCTCACATCCCTACCTTGTGAACTTACTTATTTGCCTATTTATGTCTATTTCTCACTCTCCTCCTCTCTATGCCTTTAAGAATATGATCACCAAGGAATCAGAGACATTGTTTATCATATTCATTATGACAGCCCTATATCTGGCCATAATAAATCCTCAGTAAATATTTGTTGAATGAATAAATTAGTTTTATGTTTTACTTGATTTATACTGAGGGGCCACAACTTCTATCTTTCAAGACTTTAATGTCTGTGAGAGCAGGGGAAATATTGAGTATATCCATAAAGGAAATATCCTATCCTAGTATATATTAAAGGAACACCTGCTGGCATGGCCATTCCAACCTGTCTTAGTTTTCTGAACTCAGTAGCTTTTAAGGATTAGCATCTTCTCAATCTCTATCAGGCATCAGTAAGCTGCTTCCAAACACAGACTTATGTATTCTCTCATTTAGGGATGGATTTGATCATTATAGTTCTTTATCTAGATGCCCTGACTAATAGCCATAATAATGCATTAGAATAACTTTTTAATGCATATAGTAAAGTAATAATTGATTTATTAGCCTTACTTGAGTTCCATCTGCACCAATCTTGTTTAGGGCTCCAATGGTGTTATAGAGAAAATCCGTGATCTTGTTGAAATTTTCATCTCCAATACTCCAGGATCCATCCACCATAAACACCAGGTCTGCCTTGGCAGCTTTACATACTGAAGACCAAGAATAAATGTTGAATCAGATATAAGAAAACAGAGTTGGTATTAAATCAACAAAGCAGATACCAATTTCCCTCTAGTAACTCATGCTTTTCCCCCCAAAAAAGATATCAATCCTTTCAGGTTTATATTCCAAGCTTTTGCTCATTATGCTTCCTGACCATCATTTCCCTTCTATGTTCAAGGTTCCTATTCATGACTCAGGAGCTTCTGCTGAACACATGGAATTAGAAAGGAAAAAAATCCACCAACCTCAGTCCCAAGGAATAGAAATGAAAGAAGAGAAAAATATGGAAGTGAGGTGATTTACAGACAGACGAATCAGCAAACACTTTCTAGTGCCTAACAGTGGTTCTCAACCTTCCTAATGCCGCAACCCTTTAATACAGTTCCTCATGTTGTGGTGACCCCCAACCATAAAATTATTTTCGTTGCTACTTCATAACTGTAATTTTGCTACTGTTATGAATCCTAATGTAAATATCTGATATGCAGGATGTATTTTCATTGTTACAAATTGAACATAATTAAAACAGTGATTAATCACAAAAACAATATGTAATTATATATGTGTTTTCCGATGGTCTCAGGCGACCCCTGTGAAAGGGTCGTTCGACCCCCAAAGGGGTCGCGACCCACAGGTTGAGAACCGCTGGGTTAGAAGAAAGTTCAAGCTATTGCCCTGTGCACCTTATCTTCTGTTTGTTCAGTTGGTAACTTCAGAGTGATTCAACTTCAAAAGGAAGGCATGTGACATCTACAACTTGATATGCATCTGGGCTGAGGTCATAAGCAAACTTTAATTCCAGCCTCACTCATTCTGTCTGTGACTTTCTGCCACCCATTGATACGTGCCAAAAATATACACTAATGCCAGGGAAAATATGATCAGTAATATAACTGATGATAACACTAACAAGCAAGCAAAAAACACACCAACAAAAGCCTACTCCACTGAAAGCATTTTAACTGTCATTTTTGGCATCATGTACACTTTCAAATGATCTATGCCTCTTT